CAAACCGCTATTAGGCAAATCTTTTTACACACGAGCGAAAATCTGTGGATCAATTTTTTGTCAGAGAAATTCTGTCTACTACAAGAAACGTGATAGCAGGCGATTTTAATGCATGGGCCATGTAGTGGGGTAGCATCTGCACAAATAGGCGTGGAGATACTCTGCTAAAGGCCTTCTCGTCGTTATATATGGTGTTACTAAATACCGGAAATCAAAATACGTTCGAGAAGAACGGTCGGGGATCGGCCATTGACATAACCTTCGATAGCAGTTCCTAGCAAGGACAACAAGGTGGCAGGTGTGCGACATATATACACACAGTGACCATCATGCTATTATGTTCGAAATCGAACACTCGGTGCAAAATCGMAGGAATATGTCCACTAAGAAAGTACAGAGAAAAGGATGGAAGATGGAAACCGCGGACGCTGAACTCTTCAAACTCATGTTAGATGGTCATCTAACATTTGAGGAAGACATAAATCGACAGGCTTAGACATTAGTGCGCCACCTCATTAAAGCATGCGACGCTTCTATGAGTAGAAAGAAAAATGGCGCTCCTAGGAAGCCTGTTTACAGATCAACACATTAAGGAGGGAATGCCACAACGCGAGGAGCAGGTGTCAAAGGAGTCGAGGATTTGCAGAGCATACGCAACTACGCGAATTATTTAAAAGAAAACGTAGCGATCTCAAAAAAGCAATCAAAATAAGTAAATCCTACTGTTTTAAAGAACTCTGCGGAAGAATCGACGAAAACCCATGGGGTGATGCTTACAAGCTGGTAATGACTAAGATAGGAGGTGGCAAAAGGAAGAGCACCGACGTGCCCAGAGCTCCTGAAAACCATAGTGGAGACTCTATTCTCCTGCTAGAACCTGCTGAAACGGAATGGACAATAGTCACTGATGTGGAGTTAATAAAAACGGCAGAGAGATTTGGCAATGCTAAAACACCAGGTGTGGATGGTATCCCAAATAAGGCTTTAAAGATTGCTATTAAACACAATTCGAAACCCTTTGCTGAATTGTATACGCGGTGCTTACAAAAAGGTGTCTTCCCGAAAATCTGGAAAAAGCAGAGCCTGCTCCTGTTGCAGAAGTCAAATAAACTAGCACGAGATCCCAACTCATATCGTATCATGCTGGATACGATCGGCAAGATACTAGAGCGGATAATCTGTGCACGAATAGAGCTTCATCTAGAAAAGGAAGGAGAGAAAGGTCAGTCTGACAACCATCACTGATGCGATTAAAAAGCTTACTCACTTAGCTAACAAGGCAATAGAGGGTAAAAGTTGGATGTATGGTACTAAGGAATACTGTGCAGTAGTCACGTTTGACATTAAAAATGCGCTCAATTCGGAATACTGGCCTCATATTATAAGAGCACTAGAACGTAGCGAAACCCCTGCTTACTTGGTTAGGATCATATCCAGCTGCTTGTCTGACCGGTTGTTACTGTACGATAGCGATGACGGACAAAAACCATATAAGGTAACGAGCGGAGTTCCACAAGGTTCCGTGCTTGGCCCATTGTTGTGGAATGTGGTTGTACGATGGGGTGCTGCGTTTCCCTCTCCCGAAGCAGGTACAGATAATCGGATATGCGGATGATATTGCCATAACAGTAGTAGCAAAAGAACTGAGACAACTTGAGTACCTCTGCAAGCGGCGTTAACCATTAAAGAGTGGCTCACGTCAACAAAACTTCAACTCGCTGGGCAAAACACTGAAGCCGTCCTGATCACAAGCAGGAAAAAGCTCGAAGACATTAAAGTAAATATTGACGGCCACAGTATAATGACCAAAAAGGCACTAAAGTACCTAGGAGTGCTTAGTGCCATAAGGGTCACGTGTGCATTTCGTACGGTATCCCACGAAGCGGTTGGTGTTTTAGCAGGCATCATGCCACCAGATATAATGGCTATGGAACTCAAAAGAATATATGACAGATCTACAAGACTGGGTAGGCAACTAAAAGCTGAAGAGAGGAAGGAAGAGCGGCAAACAAGCCTCAATGAGTGGCAAGGACGGTGGGATGCTGCTACGACAGAGAGATGGACTCACTTAACATCTTTAATACATTTTGTTTGATATCCGAGATATTTATAATAATGCTTAGATTGATAAGCATAAAGCCAAACGTTATAAAATTGAAAATGAAATGACCTTCGGGAGCTTTATCGAAAAAAGATTCTAAAATTACGGGAGTTAGAATTTTCATTTTCCAAAAAAGATAAACTAGCAAAAAAAAAAATTTTATGTGAATACAAACTGTTTCTTCAAAGGATTTGTTCCAAAATTAATTTGAAAATATAAATATGTAGGCATATCAAATAAAAATAGTATAGTAGTGGATTAACACGTTGCCTAATATCTTAAATTATCATCAAAACTTCAAATTAAAACATACCTATAGTCTCATTAATATTGTAATTAGCAATTAAACTTTTGCAACAAGTTGATACAGAATATACTAATTTTGCTCATAACAGTTGTTTGTATCACCTACAACTAATCGAGATACATACATATATCTAGGATCCTTTCGTCCGTCTATCTGTGCAAGCGGTAATTTGTGTAAAAATTTATATAACTTGGTACACGTGTTCCTTGGATGCTAATATCCAAAATGCCAGAACAAAATAGAATTGACGATAAACTGCTAGAACCAACCAAACAGCAAAATTGGTAATTGCCAAAATGTCCGAGTGGTGATGTTTTGGTAACAATCTACCATATAAGATGTGCCGGATTGTGCAGCAGACACTTTCCTAATTAGAGGGCTGCTTAGTCAAGAGCTGTAAATAAGAAGTTATAAACTCGAGTAATAAGCGTTAAGTTGTTTGAATAAGAGGGATAAAGAGCAGGATGCACGAAGGTGGCAGGTGACATCACAAATATCAGAGATATCGGTATAGACTTCGGAAGAGGGGAAGTGGATGAATTGAAAGATCATCTAAATTAACAGGTTAGCTCAATTAGCTTATGTACATTAGTTCGTGGAGTTCAGCATGAACATTCGGAGCTTTGCTGCTTTAGCTTGTCCAAAAATTACGTTAACGGAAATCTTTTCGTATGTTCTGACGCGGAAACCTCTTGGGTGAACCAAAAAGTTAACAAAATACATAATGCAGTAAAAAGTCAATGAAGCAATCGTTAAGCTAAAGCGAGCCAGCCGAAGTGGCACGCACTGACTGTGATTACGGGCGTGTCTTATTTCATAATAAGATTTGATCTAGTTAATAAAGATCGCTAGCTGGGGCAAAGCTCCGTACTGCAATTCGACAAGGTAAAGTAACATATGAATCCAGCCGTGTTACACAACTATGTATATATTGGGGGATATTGTCGACGAAATCATAATAGACTGCCTAGCAAATCAAGCATGAACAACATGATAATGCTACTTATGTTCAGTAATGATAAGAAGAACAACGTTAAAAGAGTGATAATAATAGAGAGTCAGCAGATTTCACCAAAAAAAACCAGAGCGAAATTATTGTGTAACTCAGGGGAAATTACTAGCGTTAGTGAAATACATTAAGCATTTGTATACGGACCCGAAATTTTTTATCCGGTGACTATCGACTCGGCAGAATTCTGCCACTACAACAACAGCAACAAGATGCACAATTCTCGGGATCAGGAGCCCGAAATCGTAGTGATTGTATTCATCAACAATTAGGTGTCGAGATGTGATGTTCTAATAGAATTACATTCTGACCAAGGAAAGAGTTTTGATTCAGCTCTAATTCAGGAGATGTGCCAAAAAATGTTACCGGAAAACGCGTACAACTGCACCCGCAGTCCGATGGCAAGGTAGAACTTTCAATCGAAATCGAAAGGTTTGGAAAAACACTTGAGGAAGGTTGTGGGGAAACATAAAACAACGAAACAGACTCCAGCAAAAGGAATTTTTGGTAATGAAATTCGGTTACCCACTGATTTGAAGTATCAAGAAGACGAGATGAGGGATATTCATAGTATGTACCTTATATGCTGTATTAACACAGCGCACCAAAAGTATGTGCGATAAAATGAAACCAGGCGAAATCACTATATTGTGGATGTGGACTCATTTCATTTACTGTGTACTATTACTTTCACAAACAGTGTAAAATTTATTTTAATTATATGCCTTTCACACAAGGAAACAAAAAATATTACTGAATAATAAATAAAATAGTAAAAAAAATCTTGCCGCATAAATAGGGTAAGATTTTTTTTACTTTATGCTTTTCAACATTTATTCCACTAACAGGATAATTTACTCAAAAAAGAATTCTAATTGCCATGCCACCAAATAAATAAAAAATGGTCAAGCCTTCATTTACATATATTACATTAACCGTGCGATTCTGTACTTTGATACAGTATCAAGTCTCTAGATTTGATAGAGACAATTTTTGAGACTTGAGACGATTTTGCTATTCTGTAAGTGACAGTCCCAAAATCTATTACACTTAATAATTCAGAGATGCTTAGATGTGTATAAGAGACAGGAAAAGGATGGAAGATGGAAACCGCGGACGCTGA